GAGTGCCTTGAAACTGAGGAGATACAACAATGTGTTCTTTTTGGCGGTTAACGCGCAAACTCGTGTCTTCTAAGGGTTAAACTGGATTATATTTAGTCGCCCCCAATACGAGACTCTGTTCAGCAAAGGCTCGACTTCAGACACAAGTTTGTCCCGGTACTCGGAGACGTTTTACCGAGAAATATTGGCACGGCCGGTGTAAAGAGCCACCAGTGCTGTCATCTGCATAGCAATGAATGTTACGGGTTTGTAACATATTATTGATATGCAGAAGAAACAACGTTGGCGATAGCACGCAGCCTTGTGGAACACCAGCATTAATAGGCTTGTCATCGGAGCTTGCACCGTCTGCGACGACCTTGATGCTCCGATCAGCAAGAAAGCTGAATCGCATTCTCGGGAAGCCCATAGGAAGGGAGCTTCGAAAGAAGCGCTTTGTGCCAAAACCGATCGAAGGCCTTCGCAATGTCCAAACTAATGGCCAATGCCTCCTCCTTGGACTCTACTGCCTCTGCCCATCTGTGAGTTAGGTAGACCAGAAGATCACCAGCTTACCGACCACGGTGAAAACCGTATTGGCGATCACTAATCTGCTGGTGATCCTCAAGGTACCTCATGAGCTGGCAGTTAACAATAAACTCCTTGTTTGAGAAGGAGGTGATGGCCATAGGCCGCTAGTTGGACGGGTCTGAGCGGTCGCCTTTTTTAGGGATCGGGTGGATGAAAGCAGTATTCCATGATTTTGGGACTACGCCTATGGAGTAGGAGTACCGAAAAAGACTCGTTAAAACCGGTGCCAACTCTGGAGCACACGTCCTCAGCACAATGGGGGGGATCCCGTCCGGCCCACTCGACTTGTGGATGTCCAGGGAGAGGAGTGCTTTGCGAACCGAGCGCTGCGTGAACTGCACTTCCGGCATGGAGCACTCACACCGCGGGATGGTTGGCGGCGTACTCCCCCCGTCCTCGAGAGTCGAGTTGGACGCAAAGAAAGAGCCTAGCAGATCGGCTTTCTCCTTTGCGTTAATGGCCAGTGAGTCGTCCTCCCTGTGCAGAGATGGAAGAGATGGCTGACAGAAATTCCCCTGGGCAGCCTTGGCAAGAGACCAGAACGCACGGGTTCCAAAAGGAAGGCGAACTAGTTTCTCGCCAATTCTGCCTATGTGCTCATACTTTTAAAAAAAAGAATATAAACAATGCTATAAACATTACTAATATTCACCTTAACCACTTGTGGTAAGTATAAATTGCTTGTGTTACGAGTGGTTCACGCCAGTAGTCAAATGGTGGATTCAACCCACGACCTTTTTGAGTTCGCGGTCCGCGTCCTGCCTACTCTTTTGAAGGACCTAGAGGTGGAATTATACTTCTTCTTTAGAGCGCTGGTGCATACATCCCGGGACGTTGATGTGTCAGCCTAGGCTTGGTAGCACTCCTGCTTATAGCATGATGCTATTTTAGAAGTGCGACCAAACCAAGCCTGATATTTGCCACCAATGGGCACCACACAGGAACGAATAAAAAGTTCCACACCCTGAAGTACCACATCAGCGACAAAATCCGCAACAACGTTGGGATCATCCGGCGAGAAGCAAACCCGCCGCCAAGGGCAGGGTGCAAAGAAAGACCGCATTCTATCACAATCGCCAGACCTATAGTGCTAAACACGGTGGCAGCCTGCAGAATGCAACTGCGATTTTAACGTGATGAAACTTGGGGTATTTTTACCCACAGATAGTGCCGTGGCTCCGTGGGCATATGAAATCATTCTGACAATCTTTTTTCGATATTATTATAATACAAGTATCGATATGGGCTGCCCTATTAATCGCCATTTTATCGTCTTAGTAAAGTAATGAAGTGTAGAAGCAAGGAGTACCAACTCCCATAGTAGAATAGTTGAAAAAGTGGCCATCTGTAAGCAGTAAATAACAGCTCAAAAACTCTCCAACACAGCGCTGGAGTAGCTACTGGGATGAAATAAACTTAGCAGTTGTCGACTGTTTAAGTGTGCTGCTTAACTGCTCAGTAGCTCTAAAATCTAAAATAATTTTATTTAGTAAATATAACCTCGAAAAAGTCGTCTATCCCACTAATATTTTTCGGTGCGTTCTGTAAAGTATACCCCGTAGTTACAGTGGCGCCCCCCTTATTTAACGGTTTTCTATGGACACTTTTTAATAGTCTGTACTCCTTACTTCTACACTCCATAAGACAAGTGTAAGTATGCACGTTTTTCTTGTAGACGCAAACTAATAAGAGTACTAACGTATGCTTGTAGGTATGTCCAAAGATATTATATATACTGCGTATGGAACAAAACATCTTTGGGTATGCCAGGTCCATATGTTTTATATACGTCTATGATTTGTAGTGTATTGTCCGTTCATCTTAACTTGACGCGTGAGTGATTGGTAGCACTGTTTCCTTAGCCGTCATCTTTCTTTGAATTTGATCGGTTGCTATCTGTGTGCTCTTTTGCTTTTTAATTATGTAATCTTAATTTTAAAAAGGCTGAAAGTGGTTAAAATTGCTGAACGACAAACTATTTTTCAAATTTATGCATTTAAAAAAAGAAAAGGCTGAAAACAAGTTCATTTAGCCATTGCATGCCATGACTGGTATGTTTTTAGGGTGACCAGTTACAAAGATTTAACTAACTTAGATTTTTTATTATTATTATTATTATATTATATATTTATATTCTTTAGATTTAACTGACCACAGTTTGTAAAATGCTAAATGATATTATATGATATATATATATATATATATATATATATATATATATATATATATATATATATATATATATATATATAATAGATATACGCGATAACTGTACAAAAATAAATTCCTAAAATTACTTGTCGAATTGCGATATGAAATAAAATTTAAAGGTGTGTGTAACACTATGGAAAATGTTAAAACGACTAGGATATAAATACAAAAAGTGTAAATCAAAACGAAAAATTTTAGTGAAACGTACAGAGTATCTGCCTGGCGATTTAATTACTTGAATGAAATTAAAACAATACCGAGAAGAAAGGCGGACTATTGTCGATTTAGGTGAAACATTTATTCATTATTCATATGGGGTCTACACTACAGATGGCTTCATTAATAATGACTACCATAACGACTGAGTTTTACCAAACCTGCCACGTAATTGTGTGATTGTGATGGACAATGCACCATAACACACTGTTCAAACAAATAAAAGCCCTAATATGGCAAGACTCAAAGTAGATATGGTAGAGTGGATTCAAAACAAGGGACTGTTGTTTTCACCACCAAATTTGTCAAAAAATGTTTTATTTGAATTTATAAAAAAATAAACCAAACCCCATGTATAAAGCTGACAAATTAATAAAATTACATTGTCATAATACTTTGCAATTGCCCCCATATCATGCGCATTTAAATCCAATTGAGGTAGTATGAAGAGAAGGTTCGCAGAGAAAAATGTGGCCAGAGAGATGATCAAGTTTAATCACTTATAAAAGAATTGTTTGGTTCAATAAGCAAACAGCTGTGGAATAAAGAGTGCTCACATGTTATAAAAATTGAAGATGAGTACATAGTGAAAGATAAAATAATGGATTGGCAGTGACACTGACGAAAGTGATAGTGACAGTGAGCATCCAAGTAACATTGAAGAAGATATTATCCATTTACAAGGTCCCTTTACATTGATCATAATTATATAAAGTGATTATTTTAACCCTATCTTAATTAATTTAACCTGAATGTTCCCATTGATATATGAATTGTTTCAGAGTAACTACGACACTTGAAAAGTCACATAAGTATATAGTCATCAGCACCTTCGTAGTAACAGTTGAATTACGAAATGAATGCCCTTACTCATACGAAATAAAGACGTTTTAAGGCTGAACTGTTAGCGCTAAGTGCGTTCGACTGTACATGCCAAGTTTGAACTCGCAAGCTCGTGATTGAGATGCATGCATACATGCTCTTATATCCCGTTCCATAATGCCTGTCTCTACATTTCGGGAACGCCATTGGCATTGAAACATGCAACACTGTAAATTACAGGGCTACCAATCGGATCACACGTCAAGTTACGATGAACGGACTATAGTTACGGTTGTACCATATATCTAGTATAAACTCCAGTTGGATTGGAGTTAATACTAAATCTATGGGTTGTATAGGGTATAGTCTGTGATAAATTGTCACTGTTCTCTTTTTCTCGTGGACAGAGAAACCTACAGACTAATGATTAGCGTGGCCTCGAGTGAGAGAGGACGATAAAGTAGTTTAAGGTTATACAATAATCTTTATGACTTTTAAACATATTTAGATAAAATTTTTAATTGTTCTGAGAACGGAACTGAACAAAATTCACCATTCTTAAGCTCACAAAACACCTTTTTCTCACTTAAACCAACTTTTAAATTCCTTAGATCGCTACGAACTGTCAAAGTTGTTTAGCAAGCTATACTTTGCTAAACAACTTTGACAGTTCGTAGCGATCTAAATAAGCCGGCACGGAGAAAGGGACAAACAATCACACCGCTCTGTCTCATTTCTATGCAAGACGTATGCATAAATCTATCTTTTTCGTGTGCGAATGCGAAAGAAGTCGTCAATTTGTCTATATGTTTCTCTGTCTACGCTTGATCTCTTGTATAAAAACATATATATACGTCTATGGTAATTGTATTCTGTGCTCCTCGAAACCTATATAATCCCCTTTAGGGTGTTCTGTGTATATAATATAATATAATGTACTCTGTGGTATTCTCCTTATCTTGGTAAAACTGGAATTTTAAATATAAGATTTAAAAAACCTCTTACGAATCGTCTTTAATATTATAAATTAATGTAATAAAATATTTATAATAATATGCAAATTTTTTTAAAATAAAATTCCTAAAACGATAAGGGTGTGTGTTTGTTATTGTAGTAAAAAGTCAGACCATGACATAAGTAAACGCGTAATTTCATAACACTTAGAATTAGACTAAAATAAAATGGTATTTGAATCAATAGTAGTTGATGTGCTGAATAGATTTTTAGGGGATTATGTAGAGAATTTAAATAGATCCCAGTTAAAGCTAGGCATATGGGGCGGTAAGTTTTCTCTAAAATGATGTCATAGAGTGTTACAACAAATCGGTTATTTGTGTTTTGGTATATTTTTGCAGGCGACGTAGTACTTGAAAATTTGATACTAAAGCAAAATGCTCTGGAAGAGCTCAACATTCCTGTTCAAACAGTTTATGGTCATTTGGGTGAGTTAAATGCATACACATCATACATGTAAGAGACCGCACCTAATTGCAAAAATATTGATCATTTTTTGTTTTAGTACATACATTCATTACCGCATATCAGAAGTCCACTGCTCCCCATGTATTGCTTTATAGGCAGGATCGGCAGGATATTTACCATAGTTGCAACTCTTGGTAGGCAGGTTGGCAACTGCAATTTTTTATTATTCGAAGATGTAATGCCAGTCAGCAGTGCCTTCCTGCACTGCTGACTGCCTCCTGGTTCATTTCCTCTTATGACAGCCATGGGATGATTTGATTCATTTCAATTTTTTACCATTTCATTTAATATTTTCATATGAAAATGATTGGGTATTATAAATTAGGTATTAGGTCAATACCTAAATGCTAATTGAATGAGTGCAGTGCACTATAGTTAATTTACCTATTTAATATTGTTAAATACATAGATATATTCTGATCAATATGTTAAAATATGAATGTAGGAAACTATTAGGTAGTTAGCATTTAAATAAATTTTAATGTGTAGATTTAACCCCTCAATCCTCTTAAAATTCCTATGCAGTCGCATGTGTCCATCAATCATAGTCAATAAATATAAGTTTTCATGGTCTAAAGTGCTGGGTGGGTGTGGTCCATGTAACCGCTCTGGATTTGATGGATGCATGTGTGGCGGCGCTGTCGTCGCTCCGCAAGCGAAACACACCAAAGTTTAAATCACGCTATCAACATTCCGAATCATAAATAGCATATATAGAACATCTCCGAACTATCGCATGGAGTGTCAGCCGCTCCCCAGGCAGAACACCTCGCCCGGTGGGAGATTTCCCCCATTTCCTTCCACGGCCACACATGCCATAAAAACGTATATTTGTAGACTACTTCTCTAAAAACAAGTTTGGCATTATATAATCTATACAAAATTCATAATATTCATATAGTTTAAACAAAAGTCAGTTATTCAATAGATTAATCATTACAAAAATACTTTATTGTATTTTGATAATTACATACCAAGCAGATATCGGTGGGGTTGGGCTTACAATTCGGTCGCCTGAATTTGAAGATTCGGTTCCTGTGCGGGTGTCAAGGGGGTTTACCTGAAGCACCCCCATGCAATTTTTGCTGCCGGAGCAGCATCGAAGTATTTTTAATAATTTTTTATAAATATTGGTAAATAGCTAATATTCTCACGTTTTTGATGTTTCATTTGTCAATGTCATATCAATATATAGTACTGAAACAATCTAGTGATTCGATATTTCACCCTAGAGAATTAAGATCGAATCTTTTCTGTTTTATTATGATTTATAAAATTATTTACAATTAGTTAAATGTACCCAACTCATAAAGAATGACAGCTTTTAATTCAATCATTCAATGTTATCTGTACTTTATTGTATCTTTTGATGTTGTAAATATAAACTTAACCCAAATCAAAAAAAGATTGATTATTGCGAAATCAATCTTTAAGATTTCGATTTTTATGATTCGATTCATCCAATTTCGATTCAAATCGATTTAAAAATGTAAAAAATTTATTGCTAGGCCGGCCATTTTGTTGACAGCTTTTCATCATGCCGTTGCTTCAGACTTTCAGAATTTTGGTGAATAGTGGAATATTTGTGGCAGTGGAATACTGCTAAATATTGCATTCTTACAAATGTTGGCAGCCATAAATTATGTTTATAAATTAAAGTAGTTATAAAAGTTAATATTTTGGTTTTATATTGAGTGCAATAGCGACCGAAGCAAGCTTGGGACGTGGGGCACCCCGACTCGGACCGGGCTTCCCTCGACTGCATCACGTTAAGTGGCGTGGGGCTTCCGTCGTCGTCAAAAATTACGAAACATAACCTCAAAATTAGGTATTTAAAAATTTATAAAAAAACTAAGCACGTCCGGCAGGAAAGTTAAGTAGGGAGTGACTCTACAACTCCTCCCCCCCACTACCCCCCCCTAATTCAGGCGACTGAATTGTAAACCTTACCCATTGGTGGCGTGAAAATTACTAGTATTTCTATGTATTATTCAAAATTATTTATGTAAAAAGATAAATTATATTCACACAAAAACTTGCATAACAATTTTATAATATAAAAAACTGTTCTACTAATTAGGAATTTGACGGAATATAGCCGTGGTCTCATGAGACCACTAGTGGATTGAGGTTGAAGAGATTTAAAACATTATTATGTAAAATTGTCGGAAATTTAAGGTATGATATATATATATATATATATATATATATATATATATATATATATATATATATATATATATATATATATATATATATATATTATTTTTTATTTATATAATATTTTACTAAACATTGTTTCATTAAGATCGAAGCTGCATTTCCTTCATTGATTTGCATAAAAGTATATAAATTAATTTAAGAGCACATTATCTAGATTAAAAATTGTATGTATGTCAGAAATGTGTAATTCTAACACCAGAGGATGTACGGGAAGACTTGATATTGCTAAATGTTCTCAAGGTTATTTTGCAAATTATGTAATTTGTGTGTAAAGAAATATAGATTTTATTAGATAGAGCAAAAATAAAGTATTTTGTTTTTTTCTTCAAAAGCTGAGTCTTAATCTTCTCAAGATTTTTTTACATTAACAAAGCATTATAAAATTTCTCCAGTAGTTTATTCTCTGCAAGCTATAATCATTAGTATAATATAATCATTATCTATTTTTTCATTCATTCATTACAGCCCTTCACAAGTCCACTGCTAAATATAGGCCTCCCCCAAGGAATTGACATCCTGCATGTCTTATCTATTTATTTATTATAGCTTCGAATACCTGCACATTTACATACATATGTTTATCACATTGGTTGCTTCTTGTTTTATTTGTCTTAGTGTGTAGTCACATTTGGGTAAAAGCACGGTAAAGTTACCAAGTCACCAGTCCAAGTCACCTTTTTGGGTGCCTTGCCCTTTCCCTTACGGCTCACCACTTGCCAGGCAGCAGAGAAAAGGTCATCTGTTTTTAGGCGTTCCGCAGGAGTTTTGCTACTCGCAGTCCGTTTCTCTTTTCTCGCGTCCAGCTCGTCAGATTTGGAACTAGGTTTGGGAACATCCAGTGCGAAAATTGCCCCCTTGGTGAGGCCACCTACGCTGGATGGTACAGTCCATAGAACCGCCGGTTTAAAGGCGGTTCCTCCATGTTTGTCAGTGTCTAAGGTAAGCACCACTGACACATCTCCCTCTTTTTTAATGGACCTTGTGTTGTTTATATTGTTTTATGTGTTAAACATTCGTCTCACCGGCTTCCCACCCTCCATGGAGCCCGCACCTTTGAGAATGCCCTACTTTTGTATAAAAAATTTCAGGCATTAGGATTACGGGAGAATATAGGGACGCGAAGTTGGCTCACAGCGCGGCATCGGGAGCTCGATCCAGCTGGCAGATAGCGCTGAAAAGGCCCATCCTCACTGCCCGAATAGACTCACTTGCTCCGTCAGCATGGCCTTTACCACCACATAGCCATTTTCAGGGAAACTAGGCAGTCCCCACATGCCTCGCCTGCGACCCTCTGACAGGACGCTTGACCATTTTCCTATCTGTAGCTAGCGGACAGGGCCATTGTTTAGCTCAACCCCCCCCCCTCTTTTATCCAGGCTTGGGACCGGCTGCACCAAAAAAGCACAGGCAGAGTTTCTTCCATGTTATATTTTTTCATCTGTCAACTTCAAAATAGAGTTTTTATGAGTATTTAACTATTATATGTGCTACAATTGAAACTTCATTTGTTATTTGGTCTGATCCTAGACTATTCTCTCTTCTGGCGCCTAGCAACAGTGAAATCATTGTTGTCTACTGGTTTAAAGATTATGGGACTCCCTTTTGACTGACTCCAGTACATATAACTATAGGCTCTACTATTAAAATTATAGGATTCCCTGAGATCGATTCCTGCCTGCACCAATGAAATTAACCGTTACAGCCTATTAAAGTCCACTGCTGAACCTCTTGCATATATAGGCCTCTTACGTAGATTGCCATAGTTGCCACACTTAGCAAGCAGGTTGGCAACTGCAGTATTTTAATTTTAATCATTATTACGAAGACACTGTTGCCCATCTCCTGGTTTGTTTCTCTCACGATATTCTGTCGCCTCTTATGGCATCCACGGGATGATATGAGGTAGTGGATATTCTTACATTTCATGTAAGTAAACAAATATTCCATCTCTAAAAAAATTAAAGAATCACGTTTGAGAAGAAACCATTGACTCGTTTATAACAGCCTATTAAAATTCTGATACATTTGGCCTCCCCCATAGATTTCCTCATTTTTGATTATTCATTGTATGGTAGGCAGGCTGGCAAACATTATTTTTTATTATTTTTAATTGTTGTAGGGGAAATAAGTATTTTTATATAGTTTGGCCATACTAAAAATGAAGTGCCAAAGTTTACTAGCCTTTATCTTTGTTAGGTGGCAAGGGATCGCACGCCGTGGTCCAAAACCATCATTTTTTTTTTGTAAATATTAACACAGAACATTTTATCAGCTTTATATATTCAAGCAAGATTTAAGATGAACTAATTTCATCCAATAATATTAAAATTTCATCCATAAGCGACAGTAGCCTAATGGCAGGGCGCGGATCGCGAACTCAAAAGGGGTTCGAATCCGCCATTCGACTACTGGCGTGAACCACTCGTAACACAAGCAATTTAAGCTTACCACGAGTGGTTAAGGGGAATATTAGTAATGTTTATAGCATTGTTAATATTCTTTTAAGAAAAAGAAAAAAAAGTATTTATAATTTGTGGTAATGGCGTGTTGTAGGATCATTGACCCCATTTTGTTGGCAATGTTAAATTGCTCAATTCCACCTAGATGAGCCTTGACATTATTAGTGTATACTTTAACATAATCCAATTAAAATGAGTTGTTCTATTCGTAATGGCTTCCTATAGAGTCATTGTTTTAATATACTTTTGTGTTTCATAACCATTCTTAAATAATATTT